TTCAATCATGTTTTTCAACTCTAATGATATTTAGATCCAGAAATTTGCTAAAATTCATTTATAGGATACTGAGTGCTTTAAATGTACATTTTCATTTCCTCTATACCAAAACAAGGCCAGACTGAATTCTTCAGTACAATATAGCTGTGAAGCTTAAAATGCCAAAGTACTTTCCAGTGATTTTCCCAGCTTGCTTATACATGTCATTGATTTTTTTCTTTTGCATTAGTCTTTTCTGAGAAGCCTGTGATTGAAAAAATAAATTAAATGGACCTGGTAATAATAGTAAGCATGGATAGAATAAGTCTTTTCATAGACCCCAATTCAGTATTTTATTTAAGCATACGCAGAGGTCTTCTGGGCAACCTTTTGCAGCAGGTGACCAAGACACACACTGGTCCAGATGTTGTTGGAACAGAATGGAAGCCACACAGCTTTCCATAAAAATATACACATATATACATCTACATCCCTTTGAGCACAGTGACACAGCTCATACAGGCAGCATTTTTATCTTCTCCAAGATCCATACACTACAAATATCTGACCAGTTGCAATGACCATAGGGGCACTAAGTGGACATGTTGCTACAGAACTTTTTAAAGGACTGAAACAGAAGCACATAGGAGAGAGAACATAAGGTGCAATCACTCAGATGAGTCATGTGATCCATTTCCACATGCTGATAATTCGTTGAGTGTGAACCACAATAGAATAATGCACTCAGCTGGTTCAGTTCCTTGTATGCTCTAAGTTACAAATCTACAAAACAAAAATTTCTCCACACAGTCAAGTAATTCAGAGAGCAAGTACGAGATACAATGGAGAAAAAAAAGAAGCAGTACAAGAGACAGAAAGTTCCCTGTTGCCCTATCAAATTTAATATCCCTGTATATGTTCTTGAATGCAGATTAGGTGAACAAAGTTCTCTAATAGAAGTCAAAATATAAACACTAGGGATTCTCTAATACTTACTGTTCAATTACATTGCTCTATAACTTCCTGAAGAACGGAGGGTTTAAGAAAAAGAAAGGTTCTTTCTGGTTGGACATTTTTAAGTTATCATTTGTAAGACCACATAAAATGATTTAGTTGTCAAAGAATAACTGAACTACATAAATAAAACATTATATAAAAGACATCTTAGTACAATTTATGTGAAGTGAATTTCACAAGGACCAGTCTATTGTAGAAAATTCAACTTATCTCTTCCTGATCCTTTTATTCTATCTAAACATAGAAATTTATGTCAGTTCAAAAAAATCTATTACTGTTTCTCATAACTGAATCCATTATTTTCCCTCCATGATCCATCATGCAAAAACAAGTGCAATAGATAGTTCTAGCAGAACGTTGAACATAAAAGGCCTCAAGAATAGAATGAGATATGTTAAACCTATCTCGCTGTGCACTGTAACTGGAAATGATAACCTTGCAGTTTAATTTAAATCAAGTCATAGCAAAGACTTCTGACTGTAATTGTTATCTGCCACATAAATAAAATTATTGTGAAATGGAATTGGGCTTGGAAAGGTATAGTTTTGCTTGTTGCATTGCCTGTCAGCAAATTGGACTCTGGGAAGGTTTATCACTCTTTGCCACCTTCTCCCACCAGTATTTGTTAATAATGGATCCATTTGACTGCAAAAAATATGGAAAGAAAGAGCTAAAAACAAATGATTCATTTTCCACATTACTCTTTATTTCCAGAGTTTTGCTGGTTCCATTGCATTAGTGATTTTTGTCTCCTTTGTTCCCCTGCCAACCAAAGGAAAAACAAAGACTCAAAATTAGAGTAGTAGCATTTCACTTGTATAACAGCAGTTTACTGACAGGAAAAATAAGGGAGCAAGTGCAAATGCATGGATTTATGCCAGAACAAGGAACCAATGAATCTCAGATCAACATTTGTGGTTTCCAAGTTGGCCTCAGTTGGATTGTTGATGATGTCAAAGGTGCTCTTGCAGACACCAGACTTCGTCAGTGCAACACAGAGCAAGAGAAAAAGGAACAACCTACTTTCCTGCCTTTCCTTGCTTTCCACTTTTGCTAAGAAAAGAGTGCACTAATCTCAGGACACACATCAGTGGGGAGGAAACGGTGCTCAGGCCTAGACAACAAAGACTGATTACACCTCTTCACCCACAGTACATCTTGGGGAGGCCAAATATGCATAGGTTGTCTCAAAGATGAACACAAAATTAATTTATTTGATGTAGTATTTATAATGAGACACACCAAAGTGAACTTACCTGCTGCTTTCAGGCAGTGCTGCTGCTTGTCTCCCACCCTGGGCCAGCACATAGGAGAGGCAGCTGGCAGACCCAAACTCTATTAACCAGCTGTGTGTGTGCAAGCATGCAAAGTGAAAGCAGAGAGGATGAAGTGGCAGGATGCAGCAGCAGGGGAACATTCCTGCCAGCAGTAGCCCAGCATGCCAGGCTGTATCACCTGGAGGCCATCACATGCAGGTGCCTGCTCCTCACACGGCTCATCAGGGTGCAGCTCACTTGCAGCTTCTGCTCCTTTTAGCCTAAGGTGGCTCATGAGGCCACACTTGGTAGACAGAGCTTGAAATAGCTAATTTCAGTTTACAACAGGCGGGTTATTACACACACCCTTCAGCAAAGGGTCTCACCTCTGCCAGATACCTTTACAGTAGCAAACACAAAGAAGACCACCAAGGGTGTTTCAGAGGAGAAATTAAGTTTTGGGACACTGATTCATCATCTCAAGGAGCTTTTCTCTCTCTCCTTTGACTACAGAAGAAATTAAGGTGACAAACAATTCAAGCTACCTAGACAAGTAGACTTTCTACTTCCTATATGTTGGTTTAGGAATACATTTATTGTACAGGTGGGATTTCTTCAGAATCACTGGTGTCACTTCATGGAGTCCTGCAAGATGTTGCAGACTTGAGGGCAGAGGTCAGCACACAGCAGCTTGGACCAATTGGTGTAATATGGAATTCTGAAAACTTTGCTATTTCCCTGCTGTCAATTTTTTTTTTCATGGCAACTTGTCTCCTGTGAACTGCATACGTCTGCGCTTTTTTAAGATTATATCTTTTATCAGCAATTTGGGGTTTTTTTTGAATGGGGAAACTCAACTTTTAGTTGCAATATTCTTAATGTTATAAGTCTAGAAAATCATGTTAGAAATACTGCTTGAACATCAAGATCCTAACTTTGGCACAAAGATCTTTCCAAATAACAACATTCGTATTCTTATTAGATAAACCTACTCTGTGGGATTTGCTAACCTAGTACTGTAACAGAATTAAACACAGCTCCCAGCTAGATGAGATACACATGGATTGATGGAGGTCTGATAATCATAAATAACATCTTGTTGAGGCCATGAGCCAGTAGCTAGCATGAGTCTCTAAACAAACATGGACAGTGGACAGCAGGAGACTTTGCCTGAGAATCTCCCAGGTCCTTCCATGCCAATTCTTATTAGGATGGGTTTGGTGAAGCCAAATTTCCACTTCTTTCTGAGTGGATGATTACTTTCCAAACTCACATGGATGCTATGACAGCTAATAAATTATAGCTGTATTATGCTGTACAAATTTGATTACTATAAAGAGAGTTAGTAGGGAGAAACACTTCACAGAAAATGAACAGAGACACAATGCTATAAAGGCACTGTAGTTAGATAGAAAGAAGAGAAAAACAATAAATAAGGAAAGGGGATTTGAGTAATGAGTACATAAGAGATGTATATAAAAGAAACAAGCAGTGTGCTGCCTTTCAAAATAGAGGAGGGGAAAAGGAAATTAAAAATTAGAAGCAGGCAAGCCAGCAAGATGAATAGATTTGAAGTATAAAGAGAAGAAAAGAATTTGAAAAAGGTGTAATAAAAGCCACCCAACCTTTAAAGTAATGAATATTTTAATTTTTTTATACCCTTTCTGGATATTAGAGGGAAATGGTAGCACACTTATACTGACCTTGCACTATGCCAACACAGTACAGTTTTTAATTCCTGAATGATGTTGTCAAATAATTAGCTGATGAATCACAAGTAAATAATTAATTCTTGGTTCTGTAAGCCTCACAACTGAGAACATAAAATGCACAGTGATAACCAGATTTTAGCAGAACTGATATTGTTATTAGTCAGAAAAAGGACAAAAAAAATGTAACATCTGTAGCTATAAAGACAGCTAGAAGAAGCACCTGGGCTCCATTTTCCCATGGAACAAAATAAAATGGATCATCTATTATTTAAATCTACTATATTAAAGTTATGTCTGGAGAAGGTAGAAGAATGGATTGCTAGTTTCTCTGCAAATTACCTAGACTTGCCCTGGGCTTTGTCCTGTTGGAGAGGGTGCATGATTTGAGGGACCAGGATTGGAAAGGGTGTCACTCTAAAAGGCTAAGGCAGTCTTAAGTTCATGTTAAAATATCTTTTCCTACAATACTCCTAAGATGAAAAGCTATAAAATAAATCCTTAGAGTTCAAAGAACAATAGTTTATCGGTTTCATGGCACTATTTAACAACCTTAAGAACAAACAGCTTCAGGAATCTAATGTTTATTCTCATAATAGAGGAACAGTAGACAAACTAAAAGAGATCAACCTTTGTATCCATAAAACAAAATAATTCCTTTTCTGCAGTGAACATCTGTTTATTTCCTGATACAGTAAAAGCATGTGTACCTCAAGCCTAAGCAAGGCAATTACTTTGGATTCTGCCATCATCACAGTCATAGGATCCCTTTTATTATTTTTTACAGTGAGAGGACTCTGGGAGCACAGATCCTGCTGTGCAGAGCCATCACACTCCTTCATGAGAACAGGCTGGTAGGAACAAAAAATCTAAGCAAAAGCAAATAATTATTCCAATAAAGAAATGAAAAACATTTACAATAGTTATCAAGCTAGACTAATTTCATTTGTTAATTCTTGCAATCTCTTATTTAAAAATAAATAGAAGACACTTTATTTTTTAAAAAATTTTAAGAGTCTCTGAGGATCAGCGTGGGCATGAAAATGTACCAGGATTCCTCAGCACCCCCAAGTAACCTGGAAGCCTGAGGTTAGGCTGATTCAACAGCCCTCTGTCATCTATGTTGGCTACCACCTGTCCTTCAAGGCCCACTGAGGGGTCCCTTTCACCATGGTCTGTGCCTAGGCATAGGAATAGGACTCAGTGTCAAAGTAGCCCTCCAGCTGCTTGCTGAGGGCATCGAAGGTGGGCCGCCCATCCACCTCCGCGCTCCAGCACTGCAACATCATCTCATAGAGCGGTGCTGGGCAGGTCTCTGGCTGAGGAAGTCTGTACCCATCATCCAGCAGCTGGATCACCTGGTGTCCTGGCATACCTGCAAGCCAAAATAAGTTCATCAGACTACTCAGGGTCTACTTAGTGATGCCATGTATCTCTGTGTCTTCATCATAGAACCACAGTAGAATGGTTTGGGTTGGAAGGGACCTTGAAGACCATCTTGTTCCAACCCCTCTACCATGAACAGGGACAACCAGCTTGCTCACAGTCCCTTCCACCCTGACCTTGAAGACTTCCAGGGACAGGGCCTCATCTCTTACTGTTTACTAGCAGTTAAAAAACAGCTCCAATGCTTCCCAACCACCTCATCCTGACTGTGCCACCTGCAAGGCACTGCAAACGGATTTGTCTGGGTGTGAGGCTTTTCTCCCACGAGCCAGGTTTGCCAACATTTTTCTTACATCTATTTCACTTGAATTGTTGCTAAATCCCTATAGTCTCAATGACTCCAAAATCTCTCAAGAAAACCTGTACTGCTACTGAATTTTCCTCACATTTAGAAACTTTTTTGTAAAGTCAGCCATAAGTTTCTTCGAGGGCAGATGTTCAGTGACATCCTGCCTGCTCTGCCACCACCAGTAATGGAGAAGAAACCATTCCCCTACCTTTGCTATACCTTTATATACTAAAACTATTGTTCCATTCACTTTTAATTTTTTACTCTTTAAATTAAATCTCGAATTGTGTAATCTTCTTTTCCCTAGATCTCTGAATGGTGTTTCCTCTGCACATTGTCCACTGCCACCACAAATCAACATACCCTTTTCTCCTAACCGATTACTGAGAACAAACTACTGAAAGTAATACAAAGTAAGCAAATAGCCATGGCAAAAGAACATTTTCTACTGTCAAGATACAGGTAAAATATGTCTTTGCAAAGGGATAACACTGAATGTATTTTCAGACAATACTCAGAACTATGGTGTTACATGTTTATACTAAAATCTTTTATTTGTGAGTCTGTGTGCATACGCACACATCTGTAGCTTATGTAGGATCTCAGGATTTTTTGCTTTGCTTTTCTTTTTTTATTTTTTCTTCAGAATACTTTCACAGGAGGTGAGGGTGAGGATCAAAAAGCAAAATCAATTTTGCCTTTTACAGGAAATATCAGTTTGAGACCCTGTGAAGTGTAGTTTATGGTGAACGCACCACACCTCAGGCCTGTTCAGGTGCAACATAACTGTTTTTTGCTTTAGTTCTTCCCTTGTGCTCTCCTCACCAGCACTAATTGAGCCACAGTCAATCATTTCACTAATATTGTATGTTATTGGAGCCACAATTCCTTGAGCATTTTTCACAGTGCTAGGAACAGTAGCTGCTCTCAGACCACTATATCTACTTTTAATGTTGGTGACATTTTTTAATTATTTCTTTAATTCTTGTGATCCTTCTCTTTACGAAGACTTTTCAATGCAATAGTAAAATATGAGGTAAGGGGGGAAGTACACCCTGATTCATTTCTCAGACACCTTCTTCCTGAAGTGCCCGTGCCATGCTCCACATATAGTTTATTCTTCCATGAGATATACTAAAAAAAATTTTAAAAGGACAGTATGGGGAATAAAAAAACCTTCCTTTTTTCTTCCCTTTTTCCATATTCCAAGAATTGGCATCTTTGATCTGATGCTGGAGAAAAATAGCCAGCTGGCTTAGGTGCCTGTGCAGTGCAGGTTGACTTCAGCAAGCATCTTAAATGTATGCTAATCACAGCATTTGGAAAGCTTCCAGGGAGCCTGGGGAAGCCAGAAGGTCTGACCCACTAAATGGACCTCATCTGAACAGCCTTCTTTCTCTGTTTACAGTTTTAACCCTTTAACATACCCATAGAACAAGCATTCAACCTTTTCTTTGTGTGTCATTCTGAAAGCAAGAAAAAAATTAGACATCATTCTTTAGGTTAAAAGGACTTACCAGCATAAGGCATCTTCCCATAGGTGATTATTTCAAACAGAAGTATTCCAAATGACCAGACATCTGATTTAATACTGAATCTGTTGTAGCGAATCGCCTCCGGGGCTGTCCATTTTACTGGTAGTTTTGTTTCAGTCCTAGCTTCATATACATTTTCATTTTCTACCTGTCATGGATACAATGAAGCAAGCCTGATTTCAGATCTGCTTCAGCAAAGCACTTAAGCACCTGACTAAGCTCAGCCTGTGCTTAATCTTATCATCTTTTAGCCAAGAACTTGTCTTTCATGGCATTACAGTACACATTTTCTGATGTCTATCGTTGAATTTGGCTTCACATTTGAGAAATGCAGAGGCTTCATCGGAGACTTTTCTAAAGCATTTATCATTTCGACCAAGCACACAGCATTGGAGTAGCTCCTGATTAATTATGACTTGCTACTGTGAATCCTGGTCCTGACATACAAGATTTCAAAAGTCTGTCAGGAATGGCAGCATAAGCATCCTGCTGACACCAGAGACCAAATGGCTTCACATCATGTCATCAGTAAACAGAGAAGGCAAGAGCACGAGCTAACGAATTTCAGAACCTTTCTCTGTGATTTATTGTGGTGTTGAAGGGCCATTGAATATAATAACAATCACTTACACAGGTTTCTGGGACCAAAGAATAAACTCTGACTGATTCAAATTAACATATTAGCTTACAGAGAGTCAAATTAATTAATGTAAAGTGAAGCTGAAAGACGCATAGAAAAACTGTTAACTTGCAAATTTGTAGAATCATGTCCTTAAAGGTTTACTGCACAAACATCTAAATTTTTCAAACATTTATTCTCTCTTTAATTCCTACATGTAATTTAGTGTACTTAAGTCACATCCAAGTCTTGGTCAAGTTTTTCACATGCAAATCCTGGCAAACGTGTAGCAGATTTTCCTTGTTTTAATACAAAATCTATGTTTCCCAGCTTCAATGCCATATAGTTTTGAAAATACTGGTTGTAGTGATTTTTATCTATATACCAATACAAGTATCTTGACCATAATACTCATCTCTAGGAGTAAGAAATTATTTCATTATACTAATTAATCCATATGGAAATACTGATTTCATTTCTCACACCTAATCCTTTGTGATCTTTCCATGTGACCATGTTATTGCTTTGGCTTAGGAGACAAACTATTCCTAGAAAAATATGCCAAAATGACTCTACAACTGAATATCTTAGTAAAGTTCAGCTTCAACAAGAAATGTCAACAGCTGTAAATTATTACCCTTTCTAGTGGGGACAAAGGAGAAATATCCACTGCGAGCATTATTCATTTAAAAATATGTATTTTTTCACGTTACAGAATGTGCAATCTGAACTTATGCATATCTAGAAGGATCAAAATTAAGCAAAAAGCACTTTCAAAGTCCCTTGATGCCATTGTCAAGCCATTATTCTATACTTCAGTGTGTAATAAATCCAACTCTGTTACAAACTTCAATTTTGGCTGCTTGAATGAAAAAAAAACAAATGAGAAGCAGAGGACTTTTTTCTCTGTTTTTCCTTCTCAGGGCAAGAATATAAATCAATTAGAAAAAAAAAAAAAAACACAACCAAAGATCTCAGAAATTATGGATTACATACTGAAATCCATAAAATATGGCAAATCAAATCTTTCCAACTCTGATCAAATCATTTTCAGAGGTAGAAAATCTCATTTCTGAACCACAGCTCTTTCCTAGGGAGAAATTGGTCAGTGATATTTGTCATTCCCTGCCCTCGAGGGCTAGAGGGAAAAAAACGTTGCAGTGGCAAAGAACTTGAAACTGGATCAGATTTAAAGCTCTGAGAGCTCACTTTATGAACTTTGCTGTTAGCTGTGGAGAGGAATAAGGTACTTTTATGATTACTACCTGCATTTGAAAGCATCATGGAGGCAGTGGAGCAGTGAACAAGGGGAGAATAGCTGCCAATACATTTTTATATGACTTCCCTTACAGGCTCAAGAATATAGTTTTTCCATCATTCCCATGATCTCTCTCCATGTGGCAGACACTAGCATTGTGGATAAAGGTTGCCCAGCAAAGGCTGTTGCTTGCTAGGCTCCTTTCTTGGTGACTAAGTGGGAAGCAGACGCCAGAATGCTTTCTGTAGACTGACAAAAAGGCACAGACCACCTTCTAACTTTGCATAGGATAATGCAGGTAGAGGATATAAATGAACTCATTAGGGGTCCTTTTCTCCCTGGGCTTGCCTTTTGCCTGAACACAGCAATTCAGAGACTGCAGTCAATCCTTGAGTTGGCCTCTTCTACCTTGTTCTCCAGAGTTAAAAGCAGAGACAATCCACTCTCCCACAACCTACCTTAAAAACTCTTGCAAGTCCAAAGTCTGCCACTTTGTAAACATTGTGTTCACCAACAAGGACATTCCTGGCTGCCAGATCCCGATGGATATAGTTCTGAGATTCAAGGTATGCCATCCCAGAAGCCACCTGAGTAGCCATGTCTACTTGATGTGTCAGGAAGATTTGAGAGCCTCCATCTTCTGTTTAAAAAGAAGATGACAAGAACAGCATAATGTTTACAGATTTCAGATACAAATAACTGAAAAACTGCCTGAGTCAAATAGCCAACACAAATGAACTAAACCACGCAATACAATAAAGTAATAGCCCAACCAAATGACAGAGGTTAGCAAATGACACTCCTTATTTCACAATAATTGAGTAACAGTGCCTGCCTCATCTTCTCTAAAAGAGTGGATACTAAATACAGGAGTAGATCTAGGCCTGGAAGGAGCTTCTGACACAGTCCAAAGAGAAAGCTGTTTATCTGCTGATAGTAACATAGTATGCACCTTTCTGGCAGGTGCATAAAACTGTTCCAAACTGTGAGTAAGAGTTAATGTCAGTACCCACTGGCTGTAGCCAAAGCTGACTAAGGATGGAAAGGCACAAAATTACCATTGTTCCCTGTTCTCCAATGATTCTTACTAGGAAATATACCATCTGCTGTCAAGTCTAACTCTCATTTTCACTTTCCAGTTCACTTGATGCTTCACACTGTTATCTCTGTCATTGCTATTCAACAGTAGGACTCCTTGAGCTGTTTTCAAGCTGCCTGTTTCCCTAGTAGGACTTTCTGAAACAATGTGTAATTCCCACCACTTTAAAACCAGCAAATCCCAGAAACTGAGATTTGCCAATCAAAGATAAGCTGTTCAAACAAAGTAGTAGCAGAACTTTGAGCAGAGCAACTTGCCTCCACAAATGAAGGAAAGAGTCTCGGGCCATGAAAAACTGCAGCCAAAAATTGTAAGACAGGTAACCAAAAAGTCATTGAGGTATAACACACCAGAATACAAATTCAGGGCCTTTGTGGATTTTTAAGGACAGCTGACTTCCTCATAAGAAAGAATTATACCCCAAAGTAATCTGGGTAAGGTATAACAGTGCTATATTCAAGCACCACTGTCACCCAAACCCAAATGCTGCAGCACTGAAGCATGAGTGCCTACCTCTGTAGCTTCTAACACTCAAAACAGTTTCAACTTTCTGTTTCAGAATCTTAACAATATCAAAAAGCTGAATGTTTGCTGCTAGGCTTATTGGCAGTTCTCCTTTCTCATCAGATTGGTGACTTTTACTTGCTGCCTGTGTGTTAGAAAAATAAAACATTTGTAGCTGGCAGTTTTCTGTTGTTTATTTTTAAATAATTTGTAGTTATAGTGTGTCTTAGCATTGTTTTGCATAGCCTCCTCCAGTTCTGGCATTTTATCTGACATAACCTTGCAATCCCACTTTATGAAGAATGAAATAAAGTGTAAAATTCAATTGTTTACTAATCTATTCTGCAATCTCCAGGCCTTGAATTTCCTTCTCATCTAGATGTTCTGAGATGAATAGGTAGAAAAAAAAAAGAACTAAATTATTAAATTTGTCCTGTATGTGTATTACCCTACTTCCTTTTTGAGGCTAAACTCATGGTCATGATAATCCAGCACCAAGATTATTTACTTCTATTGTTGACTCAGAACATTTACTTCTATTGTTGATTCAGAACATCTTTTCCTCTCCTACACATATGTTTCATAGTTGCATTGTCCTTTAAAAGAAAGAGGGAGAAAAATCAGCCTATGTGAAAATCCATTCAGGCCACAGACTAATATAATGTTCTGAAGTTTTGCAATTCTGATAACTGGCAGGCATCAACATTTACTATTCGTCTTGCTAGACAAAGATAGAAATCCACAAATTATGCTCATGTTGTATTTAATCAGAAAATACCTAAATATGTATAGGTAGCTTGCATGAGTACCTGGGTTTTGGAAGCTATCTTATATGTGTCAGCTTTAAATGTTCCCTTTCACATGGCTTCTTCATCTGCATGGGTTGTGAACTACCTCCTGGTGAAAGCAGACAAGAATTCAGACAAACTTGAGCACATTGGTCTGCCAATGCTCAGGGATAGCCTGACACAAGCTTGTTCCAACAGGTAGAGCACAGACATGTACTGAAAAACGGATGACTCATAAGCCTTGTGTTTAATGAGCTGCCTCATAGGAGTTAGAGCTGCTAAACCCTTCCTGTCTTATTCCCTGCAGGACACTCAGGTGCACCATGCTAAAGCACAAAGACGAGATCCACCTCTAACAGTGGAGTTGCAGTTGAAAGATTTTTCTTCTATTGAGTCCTGTTTGGGGTAGCAGATCAGACTGGGCTGACCTGCTGCCTTTAGCCTGTGGGCTGAGGGAGAGGAAGAGGCCACTGTTACCCTGGCTGCTACAGTATTTCTTGGATGATTTATCTCTGTGAGCTGGTTCTGCACTGCAGCTGTCCTGGAGGGAAAGCTTTAAGGAGGAGCCTCAGCTGATCAGGAGCTGCAAACTGTGCACAAAGATGGAGCATGAAAGTACACGTCTCTTTGGGATCTGAAGTGTAAATCATGTATAGCAGTCTCATAAAGATTTCTGACTATACCTCCAAAACACCAGGCTGGACCAGCCAAAGCACACAAGTTCAAGCACAGCACTACGTTAGTACAACTGTGGAAGGTTCCAAACCAGTCAGCTCCCATTTCATTCAGAGCACTTCAGAAGATATTACAGCTGTATTCATATGGGTATACATGTGCTGTAGTTTGTTTTAAAGTGTTCTGAGGGAGGAAAAACTATAAAAACAACAAAACCAAAGTTTAATATAAACTCATAGAATGGTTTGAGTTGGAAGGGACCTTAAAGATCCTCTAGTTCCAATCTCTCTGCCGTGGGAAGGTATGCTATTCACTAGCTCAGGGCCCCATTCAACCCAACCTTGAACACTTCCAGGGATGGGGCACCCACAACTCTGGGTAACCTGTCCCAGTGCCTCACCACCCTCATAGTGAAGAATTTCTAAGAATTACCTAAACTAAATAAAGCCTTTTTCAGTGTGAAGCCATTCCCCCTTGTCCTATCACTACGTGCCCTTGTAAAAAGTCCCTCTCTTCATCTGTCTTGTAGGCCACCTTTAGTACTAGAAGGCTGCTAAGTTTTATATATATGTATATGTTTATATAACTTCCACAATCAAACTCAGGCACTACTGCTGAATTTATAAAATCTTCCCATGGACCAATAAAGAAAATGTAGCACCTCCATGTCCTTTTTTACTAATATTTTTTTACAAAACTATCACCCCTATATAGAAAATTTATTAGACAAAATATTAAAGAAGTCTTGGGGTCTGCACCCTGTTCTTACCAATCACAACATCTCATATAGAAAAGACAGGAAAATATTCTCACTGACCTATATCGGACAATAAAAAGAAAAAAAAGGAAAAAGAAATAAAGCAGCACTTTCTCCAGTGAGGGCATTGCCTCCATAATATTTCACAGAACTTCAAGACTGTGTCCCCGACAGAACAAGCTCCAGGTCTATCAGATTTGATAAAAGCACTCATATATTTATGACAATTTCATTCACATCCAATTACAAAGAAAAGTTTTCAGTTGCATTTTTCTCATATTGGTGGCAGCTCAATAACTCTGCATAGCAGTGTTCATCAAGAACTATTCCAAAGTACATTTGCAGGATGCACAGGGAATTCACATGCCCATCATTATTAAGCAGCTGTCATCATGGTAGAATGTGATAGTAACTGTGAATAAAATGTTAGGGATTTTTAAAGTTGGAAAAGCATACCATGCAGTTCTAGGGAGGAAAACTTAATCAGAGAATATCTTTGGACTTTTCTCTGCTATAATTTGCCATATTTACCCATAGTGCTCACAGAGACAGAAGCCTTCTGGAAATATTTTCCTGTTCCCTGGAGTGGTTGAGTCTCAAGAGCTGTCCACTCATCAGGAGCTGTCCACTCCATGTCAGCTGATACATATCACTTTCAGTCATGGAGCTCTATGCAAGATTCAAATCTCTTTCCTTAATACTCTCACTGACAGCAGACTTTTCTCTGACCAATACCTATCAAAGTACCTGGATCTCTGCCTCCACCTCTTAGTTCTATGTACTTCCCTGTGTATAGGTCATCAGAGAAGAAGAGATACCACTAGGCTGGGTTTCAACTGGACATTTTTACTGTTATCCTGACGGCTGCCTGAAAACCAACTGCCTTTCCACAGTCTCTGATGCAGGGTTACAGAAGTGAACACTTAGCAAAGAGCAGGCTACATACATGTGCTGCACACAGCAAGGGCAGCTGCTGTGCCTGTGCTGGCAACTGATCCACACACAGGCTGCAGTGTTGATGTGCCCTGGACATATTGTACTCTGTGTACAAACAGGTCAATTTTCACCTCTGCAATAGCTGTGGCTCATCCTGGCTTTCTCAGAGCTATTTGTCCAGTGCAATAAGTGTTTTCATGCACAGCAATCATTTCCTGATGTGCCAGGCTCTTTCAATCAGGTAAGCAGCACTCTGCACACAAAGGCATGAAAGATGAGAATTGAAAGGAAATTTGTGCCTTGCTACCTCTGGAGAGTAAATGCCTACAAAACTGTAGATGATCTGGCCCAAGCTCATGGCAGACCCTCTCTGTGTAGTTCCTGGTGCAGCTGTCCCTCTAGCAGAGATTTCTTTAGCTTTAATTGTCTGTGGACTGAGCCTCATTTAAAAAAATGGATCTGCAGAGAAGATGGGGGAAGGCATGTGTCGTGTTAATACTTTCTGTGGTATTTCACAGGGCTTTGCTTTATGGGCTGGAAACAGAGAAGAAATTAAGCATGACAATCGCAGCAAACATTTTGTCTTCAAGAGATCATTACATTTAGCATCTCACAGACATCTGCTAAACTGAAAATGGGTAACACTAGAATCAAGCATTTCTCAATAACAGGAGTGAACTTAAAGTGCAATCATTATGCCAGTCTGTTCCAGGCTGTACATTTTTATTTTTAATTATTATTTGCCTTCAAAAGAGCACTTTGAAGTACTGCTGAGATAAAAACCCTAATGCGATAGGCAAGGGACAAATTCATAGTAAAAAGCTATCCCTGACTAGTAATAGTTTTCAAAGCTGTTAAGTACATTTTGTGGAAGTGCTCCTATTTCACGTCAAATATGATGACCTATCCTTCTGGATGCTTGTATTTTTATTCCATTAGTGTATGTTCCCACCTACTCATAGAACTGGGTGAAAAAATATGGGTCGTTACAAGGCAAGAATCAAACTGTGAATGTGATTCTTTCCTACTTCTCAAATATTTTGGCCCACCAAAAATTCATAAACATCTCTTTCCATTTTTCTTACACCCACACGCGATAAATAATGCAGCTTTTATATTAAAATAGGGTGTTGTACTTCTATTTTTTATGTTAGTGTGTTTACTAAACTGACAGCTGTAGCACCCCTAAAATGAATTTATAGTCATTTGCTTACTTTGAAGGTATTCTAGAAGACTTCCAAATCTCATCAGCTCAGTAATAATATAAATTGGGTCTTCCAAGGTACAGACAGCATAAAGTTGTATAAGCTTTGGATGTCTCAAGTTCTTCATTATTTGTGCTTCCCTCAGAAAGTCTTTTGGATCCATTGAACCTGAAACAACAGCATATAATAAAACATAAGCTGAGGTTATCAAAGGCCTTCCTACCAGCCTGGCAGACTTAAGGGAATAACTGAGATTGTTTTCTGTCTTGAAAGTACATTAGCATCTCAAATCTTCACAGTTCCCACAGAAAACAGACAGTGCAGCTCAAACAAACAGTTAATGAGTGAAACATGCCAGTTGTGTAGGGACAGAGAACATATGTGTTCCAGACACCAGAAATATAAAGGCTAAAATCAACTGCCCCTGGGCCTCCCCCAAACAGGAAACAAAAGTGAGGCTAGAATGTTAGCAGATACAATTTAAGCAAACAACCAGTTAATGAAAGGACCAGAAACTGAGGTGAGAGTGTCTAGGTAATGAACATAAAATTTCTGAGAGACAACTAGCTCTGCAACAAGAATTTGTTGCACTATATTTTCAGCTTCACCAATCAAAGTCTGAAGGCACTGGAATTACTTTAGCCTATACAGAGTACATGTGTGCATTTATATCTATAAAAATAAATAACTATTTTTAATGTTCATGTAATAACAACATTATTAGAAATACTAATGTATGCACAGATGTAACATTAATTTTACAAACCCTTAAATGTTAAAGTGTCTTAACAGCAAATTATGCCAACCTTTTAGGCATTACATAAGGTCATAACATCTCTAGTTCTATTCACATACACAGTGAGCCAATGTATAAACTATGTCAAAGAAACAATCAGAAATGGCATGGGGAATCATGGTAAATTTAGGATTAAAGCTCATATGTCCTGAATAGGGGATCGATTAGAAAAGCATGCATAAATAAAGTAGTAAAGCTTTTTCTATGAATGATTCAGTAGTGATCAGATATGGTCAGATGTTTGAGAAGTTGGTAAATAGTATCCACTTCAAAATGCTTGTACAAAAAAATATGAAATTATTCAACTACTCAAATGTCTCTTTCTTCCTAAATCAAAATACTTTAATTAAAAAAATATTACAGTGAAGATTGGGGAGGAAAAAAATCTATCCAAGTTATTCTGCTCTATGCTATGTTTGAAAACAAACTCTTCTTCTGGTGTAAGCAGATTGAGTCATTTCAGAAGCCAAGGCTGCAAGAATAAGTTTTTATGTGTTTTTTTTAACATTAGGTAACCAAAAAGGTTCATTTGAGAGTTTGTCTCCGTTCCAAATACAGATGTTTAAGTTAAGTGAAATTCTGGGAGTATGTTAAATGGCTCAGTAATAAAATTTCAACAGAAAATCTGTTCTACAAAAAGAACTAGCAAATCAGCCTGGGCCACTTTTATCCAACACCTACCTTGAGTGCCACCTCCTGAAAAATGCTCCAACCTATTTCCCAAAACATACTAATGATATGTGATTTCATATCCTTGCATCAACGCAAGAGGAATAACTCAGAAATGCTTCTGATATACACTCTATGAAAAAAGAGTCACTTGACATTGCAAGTTGGGAGAGCAAAGATTACTTCAAGGGACAAGTGCTCCTCTCCTCCATGTCCTCATACTTCCCTTGGCAATCCCATAGGGTCCAATTTGGCAATACTCAATAGGATGTCATTAGGAGGGATAGTGAAACTTAATGGATTTCATTGCCATCAATAAATGGAGAGCAGCCAATAATATATATCCTTAACAGGTACAGGCTATACTAATTTCCTTTTGACACTGTCAGAGGAAAGTCGAGGCCTGCATGAAAAGTAAATGATCTTACTCGGTCTGGATAAAGCAGAAATTATGACAGTCAGAGAGAAAATCCCAACTATCTGTTATGCTTCTCTATGTCTTTTTCCTGTATAGAGTAGCACAATCTTTACAGATTTTTTTGAACTTTCCACCAACTCTAGATTTTAAAAAAAAAATATCTAGGCTTGTCTTTATAGGGTTTAGACTCACTTTGATACTGATTTAAAACTGTGCCCCACTAGCTTACCCTTTTCAAGATATATGCATTGTCATAGAAATCAACCTAAAATCTACAGAGAAGCTGCATGGTGTGAAGCATTCTCCCTCCAAAAGCAAATGCATAAGCATGACTAATGATTTAGCATCAGTGCCAAAATTTGACAAGTTGATCTTAAAAAGGATAAAGTATTTGCTCACTTAGGGTCTCCCAAATCATGGAGCCTCTATGGATCATCATACAGGATTTCTTCACACCATAGAATATGACAACCTGATTTGTTCCCATCATCAAAGTTTGACTACAAGGAATTTGTCAGTTTAATCATGATATAAACTTCTTCTAACAAGCTGAAACCAAGCAACATGCTTTTCACATATAACAACTTTCAATAACTTGATCAGGAGAGAAGTATTCTATTAGTTGAATAGCTGCAAATCTTCCTTTACATTGTAAAAGAAAATAATAATAGATAACAAACTAGTGACAAAGATCAATAAGTATGTCATACATATTTTAAAGAGCATATGTAACTTTCTGTTTTAGTTAGTTTATATCATTAAATAGTACAAGCAGCAGACAGTCCCTCAAATCCCCCAGAGCCCTGTAGATCTTATATTGTAGTTCATACAAGGATTCGATGCCAACAGAAAAAAATTTAGAAGTGTCTTTATGAGTGTTTTGCCTAAGATTAGGTTTTAGCAGCTGGATAAGCAAAGTAAAAACTGCCTCTAAAAGAAAGCAAACATGTGTGTTTCAAATGATTTGGATAAAGCCTGTCACAATAGTGGTAAAGAAGTTACAATACATCCCTTTGAGGAAGGAAATACATGCCACACAGAGTTTCAAATAACTGAGGGGTTTTTTTTAGTTTGTACTTAAATATGTGTGTTTTTAATGAAGCATACATTTTCAGCTGTAAGTAGTTAACACAGTATGAACAGCAGGTTACTGTGAGTAGAAACCACTTGATCATAAAATAATTAGTTTACAGAAGCCTTTACTGAAACAACTGAAGGCTTCTTTTGTGCAAGACACCAGTTTGGGAGTAGGTTTATAAGTACCTGGAGAAAGTACAGTTTTGATAATTTGTTTTTTGAATGAAACATGTTTTTTTAAATGTCAAAGTCATTCTTAAGACCAAAATGTTGGAATCTATTTCTTTGATATGTCCTATGATGATGTGCTATTTTGACAGGAATCACCTCTAATTTAAGCCTACTTAAAACAGGTATATCAGTTCTGATTACCTTCTTCTTGAAAATATTTTGTTCTAGATTTGAAGAAGCTTCACATTATAAGATAAACCCTGATAATTTGGAAAGGAGATAGAGAGGAAGTCAGTTATTTTCCAGATTCCATTGGCCTAAATATAAGTGGCCCTTACATATTCGATAAGCCTCTCACGAGACACTTTGTTTGCAACTTTCAATAAATCTTCCCAAATTACTTCAAAGTAACCTTGTACTTCAGGGGACCCTAGTCTTTTGAATTAGTTTACACAAAATGAACTTATGCGGAGACTACATTAAGCATACAACTGTGATCTTCTGAAGAAATTTATGAGTAATAAAGAAATAACATTAAAAAAAACAAAAATTTGGCAACACAAGAGACTAAAAAATCCTATTCACAGGTGAGTGATATAGGTATCTGACATTTCTCAAGCAGCTTTGTCACTATACAGAAGTAAACTTACAGGTTAGAGTAAGGTCATATAGTGAATTAAATGGAATAAAAGAATCTCTTTTTTTCCTGGGAACTTGAGGGACTTTCCTGAGTGCAAAGATTTTTAGATTGCATATGCACTAAAGAGATTACATAGTTAAGAACTGAAAATATTATCAAAAACTCTGCTGATGGTACTAACCCAGGCACTATTTGGGAAAAGCCTCCTGAAAAATAAAAATCACGCTTGGGCAGCTTTCATGTAGAGAAGCTTGGGAGAAGCTTTACAAGATGATAATGACAAATGTATCTGTCAACTTGAACAGGCATAAGGAACTTTATCAGATACAATTAATTGGTGATGATAGATGTCTGCTTCACATGCTGATAGTTGGAGAAGCAAGCTAGCCCAGACAAAGGGTTCTAGGATATCCATCACAGTCAGCATAGGATGAAGTGCAAATCCCTGCTGCAATGACTTCCACTTAAATAGAAAAAACAATGTCTCAGTGAGAAAATAAAAACAGAAATGTGATATGACATGTTCAGGGATCTGCATCAGGACAGTGTTATGCAGAGCCAAGAACAGAAATAGCAACTGCTGGCTTCTAGACTATTTTCCTATCTATTGATCCCTACACCTCTTTGATAACTTTGATAACTCAAAAAGTCAGAGATGTTTCTTAAAGCAAAGATGTTCTTTTGTTTTGTTTTTTCATTCACATATCCATCACTATTGTTTTGCCCGGTAAAATGCCACAGATGTTTCCAAAGCAGAGTCAAACACCAGTGAACAAATAGGAGAATTATCTGAATGAAGGCATCATATTACTCCTGCTTTTTGTTTATAGTCACAGTGACCAACAGATTGTAACATAGATAAGGAGAGGTAACAGGAAAGACATGGACTAAACAATATTTGACAGCAAAGGGTGGAATGATCATGGTGAATTTCAGTTGTTGTAATTGTGCTGAAGGGACAAAGGGTGGATTGCGTGTAACCTGTTCACTTTTCTTTGGTGTTATGATTATGGTATTTTGATGTGGAGAACTCTTTTTCTTGATGTGAGTGAAGCTTGTGAAGTGTGTGTGATGAATGTGGACTTGAATGATAATTCTTAAATATTACATCCTTAAATATTAATTCTTAAATACACAGAGCTGAGGTGTAGAATATATTGGATTTATGTGGCAAGGTTTGGTACTGGGGGGCTACAGTGGTGGCTTCTGTGAGAAGCTGCCAGAAACTTCCCTCATGTTGATAGATCTAATTCCAATTGGCTTCTAGATAGACCCACTGCTGGTCAAGGCCGAACTCATCAGCTATGGTGGTAGTGTCTCTGAGATAACAGACTTAAGAAGGGAGAAAAGAAAACTTGTGCAACACTAGCAACAGCCAGAGGAGAGAGGAGTGGGAATATGTGACCCTCACTGGAGCAATCTGTTCCTGAAGGACTGTACCCTGTGGAAGGGATTCATGCTGGAGCAGTTTGAGAAGAACTGTGGTCCATGGGTAGGACTCAAGTTGGAGAAGGTTGCAGAGAACTCTCTGCTGTGGGAGGGCCCCCATGTTGGAGCGGGGGAAGAGTGTGAGGAGCCCTTCCTCTGAGGAGGAAGGAGCGGCAGAGACAGTGTGTGATATACTGACCAATACCTCCATTCCCCGTCTCCCTGCACCACTGCAAGAGAAGAGGTAGAGAATTTGGAAGTGAAGTTAAGCCAGGGAAGAAGAGATGGGTAGGGGGAAAATGTTTTGAGATTTTCGGCTTCCTGACATCCAGATTTTACAATCAATGGAAAGAAATGTGCTTTTATTTTATGCTATTTATTTCTCTTTGTAATGTGCATTTTTAATCTATAATATGATTTATCTGATATGTGTTTATTTCTTCCTGCTAATTATTAAAAAAGCTGATACATCTAAGATGTTAGATGCCTAAAAACAGGAAAAATGTAGTTAGTATGCTGCACATCAATATTTCTGAAGCAGTTGTGAAATTTCCGATTTGTGTGCAACATTTGAAAAATTGGGTCTTGTTCCAAATTGGAAAAGAAACAGATTTCTGAATACCCTAATTACTCTCAAATCAGGAATCACACATTTGCGTCACAAGAGAGTTGGTTTTGGGAAAAACCCATCACTGCCATCTCACCAGAATTCTGGGAGATTAGTTTTTCCTACAGGTTGGAAGGTCACAGAGTCACAGAATCATAGAATCATTAAGGTTGGAAAAGATCTCTAAGATCATCAAGTCCAACCATTAATGCAGCACTGTGATGTTTATAACTAAACCTTGACCTCAAGTGCCACATCCACACATCTTTCGAACACTTCCAGGCATGGTGAGTCCATCAGTTCCCCAGACAGCTTGTCCCAGTGCTTGACAATCCTTTCCATAAAAAAAAAATTTCCCAATATCCAATCTAAACCTCCCCTGGCACAATTGTCCTGTCACTTGTTACCTGGGAGAAGAGACTCCCACCTCACTACAACCTCCTTTCAGGCAGCTGTAGAGAGCAATAAGGTCTCCCCTGAGCCTCCTCTTCTCCAGGCTAAACAACCCCAGCTCCCTCAGCAGCTCCTCATATGACTTACTCTCTAGACCCTTCACCAGCTTCATTGACCTTCTCTGGACATGCTCCAGTACCTCAATGTCTCTCTCGTAGTGAGGGGCCCAGAACTGAACACAGGATTCAAGGTGTGGCCTCACCAGTGCTGAGTACAGCAGTGCAATCACTTTCCTACTCCTGCTGGCCACACCATTTCTCATACAGGGCAGGATGCCATTGGCCTTCTTAGTTTTAAGCCTTTTAGCAGCAAGGGCTAGAAAGTAGTTTAAGTGCAGAAAAAAGTGTTTGAGAAATGAGGAGAATATTATATAACAAGAAATTATATTTAGCCTTTCTAAAGACAATTAAAATTGGTGTAACTCATTCTGTACATACCTGCAAAATGGAAAGAAAAACTAATGCCTACAAAGAGGCTTTTATTTTGTTACAAGAAGACATAACAAGCCTTAGAGAGAAGACATCAAGTAAATTCAGATGCGAAATTAGGCCCACATTCTTACAGTGCCTTCATCTTGGGAGAGAACATTTCTAATTATTATCTAGTCAAGAACTAGCTATGTTTTGATTAAATATAAATACTAATCTCAGCAGAGGAATGATGTGCAATGGCTTATAACAGCAAAGTATTCAGACTATATATAATCTAAAACAGATGTACACTCCAAAACAATGCTCAACAGAAAAACTCAAAGTAACAGAAATCCTTTCTGCCCTTCAGGCCTATAAATCTATGACATACTGATTGCATTAAGCTCTTCTATACTGTTCAATATGTGATTACCCTACTTGATCAACCTGTTCCTGCTTAGTAATGAGAGCATTGTTCCATGTTACAATTCCTCTGGTGCTAAAGCCTTTTTAACAAAACCCACTCCGTCTCAGATCCCTATCACTTTGAGTTTAACACACTCCTCTGTTGTTCTGATGAATTCCTTTTCCAGAGGGTCTACACTGCAAAACAGCTTAGTGAAAAGCCTTTAGTTTAAAACATGCCCCCTCCTGTCCCAGCAGAAAGACAGTCGATTTAGATCTTTGAACCAAGCAACAACAGAGGATCAAAAACACTTCAAAAACACTTGAAGCCTGAAATAATGCCTATGTGATTATTGGAATCTTCAAACGTCAACATATAACACAATGTATTTCTTGATTACTCATGCACTAATATGTTTTCCATTAATTTATCTTCTTTACATTATGGTGAATGAAATTACCAGACCTGCCCTTTGCTGAAATTTTATTACTACCAAGATAAGCACTTATTACTCAGATTAAGGTGAGGGTATTGGGACTTTTCTTTAATTAGTGAAGTGTTATTTCTCATGAGTAACAATGAGAACAAGCTGTGGAAAACCAATGTGCTAACTGATTACAGTAAGGCACTCCAAATGCTGAAAAACACTGTATTGGAAGAGAATAATTCCCTAGAGAAGTGCACTACAAGGTTAAATGCTTACATTTCACACTGTTCGAATTGTCTTGGTAGAACGAGATAGTTCACAAAGTACAGTGATAAGAAATTCAATATTAACTATATAATTTATCAAGATGGCTTTGAGAATCAAAGTCTTCATTCTGAGCAACACTGTGCAATGTACAACTTCCTTATCACATTATTAGATCACAAACTCTCTGCTATCCAAGTACGACATCCAGGTGGGGCTTGTGTCTGCCCTAACTCAATATAACCCACCATGAAATCAATGAGACTACTACTGTTGACCTGAACAGGAGTCAGACTAGAGTGAAAAAAACAGAGATAGAAAAAGTATTGATTAATTGAGCCCCTTTTCCCAGATGAACTATGATACTTCAAAAAGAATCACAGTTGAAGGAGTTTCTTCCACTATACTGTGCTAGTCTGTATGTAATAACGAGTTTGCAGTGAGTCTTATGTTTATTCCAGTGAGAAAGAGATTTCAAGATAGTTTCTGTGTTTACTGGGTCACTAGGAAGAAGCACCTGTTCACTGAAAAAAGTACTGTCTTTCATATAAATTATAGATGGTCTTTAGTCTGAGCAGTTTTTATATTTCCAGTTAAGCAGAGAAAAAAAAAATGCTTATTTTCTTTCAATTTGCAAGTCTCGAAACACAAACAATATCCTGATACAAGAGAGCATTAAAACACATGCTTAAATTCCTCCCTGTTCAGGAGACCATTGAAGCAGGGATCAAGTATATTGCTATTATTCTGAATCAAAGATCTGAATCTGTTCTGCTTCCTGAACCATGTTCATTAGTGCCCAACACAAGCTTTTTCAATTAACCACAACTCGTGTTATCTCCTTTTAAAAAACACGTATATCATCCAGGCTACTTTCTTATCTATGTGGTTCTTGCCATCTGCTGGCAGATATTTTATGTTGTCAATTTAAAATGCACAAATTACTTGAAGTTAATGAAACATAATTAAGAAAAATGCTAAAAGCTGTATTAGTCACAATCTTACACTACATGCAAATATGGGGTATTAATGTTTTGTATCAAAAACTTTGAAAAATTTTATTCAATCAATACTAAGATTAAAGCACTTCTTAAGTACACACTTATCATAGTACATATTCTGTATTACCTAAGAAATAATTATAATATAGCATCTAATCGCTAGAAAAATTCTCTAGGTTACAAACCTGTAGTCAATCAATTATTTCACCTCTAGATAAAATGTAGTTATTCAGCCCCATACAAGCAACATCGTACAAGAAGACGTACAACCCTTGCTGGGGTTGCCTTTTTATGTAATCATCTAGAAACCAAAAACTGTATAAAATTGTAATTCAAAATACCAAAGAATACCTAGACTTTCAGTATTACTAATCTTCATGTTTAAGTGTGTGGATTTTAAGAATGATTGCATATATGATTAGGCTCTCTTTTCAGCAGCATTTAAAAAGTAAAGGAGCACCCTTGCTAACATTTCACATTATTAGCATTTAAGAGTAATTCACATACCTGGTTTTAATGTTTTGATTGCCACGGGGGTGGTATTATTCCACCGTCCTTCCCATACCTCACCAAACTGACCCGATCCTAATTTTTTCACCAACTTCAGAGATTGTCGGTCTATCTCCCACTGATCAACAGTTTTATATGACAAATCAAAAGTAGCAGGAATTTGAACCTGGTAAAAGAAAATAAATAATACAATAATTGAGGCTTTTAATATTTTTTTCAACAGCTTATACAAATCATTTTTAACTATATCATGTAAAGTTGAAACAGAATATAAATAATGCTTCCTTAGAGTACACATGCATAATAAAATGAGCCGAGAACATAAAATACAACCCATATACTGGGTACTTTTTTTAGAAATAAGAAATAAGATAAAGAAAATATACTTTCCTTAAAAGTAAAAATTAGAACTCATTCCTCTAAGCAAGTTTTTTGAACAGTGACTTATTGCTTGCCTGAATCTTGTGGTTTTGTCTCAGTAATTACTTATGGACAGCTAGAGTTATGGAGTTGGAGATTTCATCTCCATATATATATAAAGGCATTCATAAATCCTGTTTTGGCATGTTTTCTCCCCCAGACACTCGATGATTTGTTAAAAATGGTGGGGTATTCTATTATTAACTTGTCAGCCTCAAGAATGAAACAGTTACAGTATCCAGAACTTACGGAAAACAAGCAGATCATCAACATTTTGGAATGGTAGAAGCAGATATGGAGTCAACATTTCCTGACAGATACTTGAGTGAGCTTACAATAAATATTTTACACAGCATAGCATCTACTCTTACCTTTAGGCATGGCTTTCCGAGCATCACACAGAGGCCATCACTGTTCTTGCTATAATAGTCAACCAAGTCATTCAGAGTTTTGAAAGTTTTCCTTCTGCTTAGAAAAAAGCCTCCTTCATCCAGCTTTCTGATCCTGTAGTGCTTCACAGATGCACCATCAAAAACTAAAAATATTTAAATATATTAAATTTCTAGGAATTATTGCAATGGTACATCATAATTTATGACCAAGCCTTCATAAGGTTCCTAAATATATTTATGAGGACTTTAAAATAAATTTTTTTGTTTTGAATAGGAAAACTATAAAAAGCTTCTTTCAAGCCAAAGCCCACTGTTTAGATATCTTAATACTGAGTCTATCAATCTTCAGCCATTCAGGTTTGGAGATTCTTGCTTGCACCATAATAACAGAAGTAGAAGTACATAAATACATCTTATGTGAGGCAGCTCATGTTTACCATCTCTGAAGATACCAAAACTAGAAGCATCTTATTCACAGTAATCATTTAATCAGTTTTTAATACTTCTTTTATCAATGTCAACATTTCAAATAGCAGCTGCTGGGCTGGTAGGCATTTTAAAGGAAACAGATATACTCTTCACATGGCCATAATTCCCTGAAAAGCACTCACATCTTCCCAGGGTTTTTTTGAGTTTCATGTGTGTTTGGAATACATAAAAATCAGGTGAATAATGCTCTGGTTTTTGTACCATTTGTACCATTAATAAATAAAATAAAATAAAATTTTTTAAGTAGTTTATTTAATCTTTGTCTCATCCTTTTTAAATTTTTTGTGTATGTTCTATAACATACACAATCTATCAGTACAGTAGTACATGTATAAAATTTACCAAAAAAAATAAATAAAGGTATATGTAGAGTGAATGCTCAAAAATCTTTTTTGGCTCAAAATCACCACAGAGGGCAGTTCAGAAGAGTTGAAAAGGTATTTATTTACTTACATGGGTGTCTTTTAGCAAGACACACCATTAGTTAGACATCACTGTCCATTTTCAATGGGCAATTGAGAGTTTACATTGCATACAGAAGGGTAACTGATTTAGCTCCTAACAATGCCACAGTTGTTAGCTCTAACATTAACAGTGTTCCACAATAAGCCCCGCTGGTAATGAGGAATCCTGATCATATAAAGCATACCTTAGGAAGGAAGATGTTTAAATAGTAGGACAAATTTGCTGTGTCTTAAACAGAGATTTACTGATCCTAGGAATTTCAGAGCTCGTTGAATGCTACCAAGCTGTAAGATTAAGTGATAGACCAGGATTTGAAAGTGTGGACAGATATTTTTGCTGTCTGTTAGAGCTGTGGGTGTGGGTTCAAGGTGAAGGGATGCAGCCCGCCCAGTTAGGCTTGGGGCCAGTGAGATCGTGAATTAAGCCAAACAGGAGAATGGGATCATTTAATGAGTCTGAGGATTAGCCAGAAGGAGAAACACTGGAGCAGAACTAAATATGAAGCACCACATTTTGGAAAAACCAAGAAGCAATAGCTAAATGAAAAAATTGCTATTGCTCTCCTCTGGATTTACTATAGTTGATATATTCCTTATACTGTAACACTGTATGGATTTTGGCAAACAGTTTGGTTATAATAGAAGAACGTTAAGTTGCATATTGTATGTAGAAAATTATTGGTTGCGTGCAATTAACAAAGTTCATATAAAGAATAATTTCTCTCACTATTTAAGTGATCAAGTTATAAAGGAAAATCTCTTCTTCCTTAAGAACTATCGTAGATAATCAAATATGTTTTGCATTGTACTGTGCGATTGTCATCCCAGACCACCAGAGGGCAGAGAGCAGCTGTTCAAAATACTCCGCCCCAGGCAGCATTTTTAGGGACCTGAGAATTTCCAGTCATGAGGACCGGGAATAAGAATATTTGTAAATAAAATCCAGATGATAAAGATAAATACATCACACTTTTCAAATGCCACTTCCTTTTAAATTAACACCCATAAGTAGTATTTATAATTATAAAATACACGCATATTTTTGTGATGTATCATTTGGAAATTGGGCTGAAGCAAAATGAAGTAAAGAGTAATTAAGTAATAAAAGACTGAAAATTTGCTGACTTTTCCCAAGTTCACAGGAAAACTGATCTGGAAAAACTAATAAGTCTTTAGGATGCATTGAGTAAAAGGACAACAGGATGACTGTTAATTCAGTCTCAGTTGTACATCACAAGTAATAGCAGTTTGACTACCTGCTTTGTTTATTAGAAGTATTATAACTATTACTTGTGAAGCACCTAACATTAATAATGCAAGAGCTGTTTTGAAGGATGTGCTCTAATTTCTTAAATGAGACTTCTATGAAGCCTTATAATTGACAGCATCTAGGTCAGGTGGTGATGTGTGTGGAGAAGCTGGAGAAAATTTCTGCACTGATACCACCTCTTCTTGTGATAAGTAGCTGAGATTAGTGCAGTATTGACAGGTTTACTTGTATCCCAGGGCTGAGTCTGGCTGTACAACTCCTGCACCACACACTTGCAGTTCTGTGACATGGTGTGGCTCCTCTGCCGAGATGATACAGAGCACATGTCACCCAGGGAACAGCTAGCCATAACCCCTTCCAGTCACCCCTACATCCATATCAGACTGCTTATCAGGATAGGATTACGACTTCAGCTTCACACAGCTTGACAGTAGCTGGGTTTGAAGACTGTTTTTTAATTCAACCTGCCCTTTCCAGAAGAATCACAGTTCCCCATTAGATTTCTACATGGTTTCAGTTTAACAGAAGGATTCTCCTCTCCCTGCAATCCATCTGCATATGATTGGACTAAGCAGAAGTAGATTTTGCCACCTGAAGAAAGAGAATAAAATAACCTACTACTCTTTTTCAGGGCAGAAAAACATATGGTGGCATCCACAGAGTCAACATCTTCACCAAATGAATCGTGGAGACACTAAGGCACCACTACCGCCAGCAACGCTGTGTCCCCACATCACTCCTGTCAGCAGTGCTCCCCCAGCACTGGCCATGCAGCACTGCCAGCATGAGTTTTGCTCAGTCTCCATGCCCCAGGTGGATGTGGGAGGAGACTGACCCCTGAGATCACCCTCATCAGCACAGACCAAGTGCAGAGGCAGATCCAATATCATTCTCTTACTGTGGCCATGATTTTACCAGTCCTATGAGTCTGCTTCTTTAAACAATTACCTATTTTTTCTTATGCTGAAACCCAGTCTGGCTTAAAGGAAACCACACAATATTTTTTAGGAGCATGGAAAAAAAATTTGAAGAAAACACAAACCATTTACATTGTTATTTAATACAATAAGTCTTTTAGATACCATTATTCAGTGACGGGCTAAGTAAAGAGCTTCCTGCTATCATTGGCAATGACACTCAATTAAGCTGAGCACATCTAAATTATGGCTTTTAATTAAAAAGAGGCAATGTCTAAGATGCCACCAACGTGTTTAAAATTTAATACATTTCACACCAGATGCTGGAGTCATCAACATAAAAATCTGTTGACAACATGTGCATTTTTAAAATGGGAAAACCTATTTTTAAAATGTCAAACACTTTAATTTATAGCAACACATCTCAGTGGCCTATCTGGTTTGATGAGCTTTCCATTTAACCATTCAGAGATGAGAAAAGCCTTTCTGAATGTGACTTTTTATTTTTAATTTAAATAGTTACTTATTATCTAAATCTTAAAAATTCAGAGTTTTCCCAAGTTAGAGTGAAAAGTACCATTTTCATGAAAGGTAGGGTTGGTTTGGTTTTTTTTCCTAAGGAGATCATTTGTTTCCCTAATTAACATCAAGTCTTTTAAACATTGCCCATATGAGTATGAAATCAAGCATGAAAGTCATAAAGTCAGTTTATGGGTTCTTGAGTAAAAATCTCTCTTCCCTTTCAATTACTCTTATTTTTTTTACCTTTATTGCACCTAAATATTAGGCTGGATAGAGAATTAAAACATTTTCTTAAAGACCTTAATTCTGAAAGCCAGGTTATCACTCTTCTAGCCATTATAATCTACTCTGAAATGAAACCAAAACAGCAAACCAACCAGACCTACAGAGGATGGGACTTTGGGAGTCTACTCTTTCTGCACTGAAAAAACTGGAAATGGAAATTAGGGCATATTCCAAAATACCAGGTTTTGACTTCTCCCCTGTCAGTGTATCAGCTACCATGGAGATAGAACCTGTCCTTCTGCTTCAACTTCAGTGTCTCATAATTCCTTCTGATGGCACAAAGAGGAGAGATGAAGGAAAACTGTCTTCTCCATAGCACCTGGTGAACTAAACAACCTTCTTTCCAATTAATACTCTCCACAACACAAACCTCTTCATCATTTGCTTTAGAATGTAAGAAAGAAATCCACACTGATGGTTTCATATCTTGCTGCTATCAGTCATCATCAAATCTCCTGTTCCTGAATAAACTGATACAGAAACCAGAAAAATTACTACCACAGGCTTTTATAATTTAATCAAATATACTAAATCAGATAGAATAAACTTTCTATCCAAAATTTCTGTGGAAAAAACTAAACAGCAGCATCAAAAGATAATCTCATCGTACCAAAAATGCTGGCCTAATATTTATTTTCATTGTCTTGGATTTTTCTCTGGAGTATCTCATAGTTTAACTAAAGTACTGCTGCCTTCCTGTTAGAGAAGTGGTTAGGATGCAGGATAAATAATTAAGATTTTGAACCTTTCCTAGACGCCTGTAGTTGGAGAATAATAAAAAGAAATTGCATTTCCACTCCTAGATGCATAACAGAAGATTTTTCATTGATTTTTAGTAAGGTGTCATATATTCAAATGCCAGCATTAAAAAGATAATACGGGCCTATTTGTCCTTCCCTGCATAACACCACACTGTTGTTGGTCTAGCCCAGCCCTTGGATGAAATCAGTTCACTGATGAAGAAAACTTGAAGGAAACTGAAACCATGTAACACATCAATAAGTTGGCACACGAAGAGAAAGCATTTTGCAAGGTCTTTGGCTATAATACAGTCCTTGGATGAAAGTGTACATGCACAGGGGTCAGTTCTGTCACAGCTGAGGAGCAGTCTGATTCCTCACTGATGGTAGTTTTCCTTTCAGCACTTTATGTCAAGAACCAACTTCCTTGAGGGTAAACTGAAAACTATGGAGTGAACTCTCCCAGAACTGTAAATATCACATTTATTTCATAAAACTCCCTGTCTTTCACTTCACATTTCTTTGTCTTGGCAACAAAAAGCAACCCTTCCATTACCACAAGACATTGCAGGTATATCCCCTTTCCTTATAAGTGGGAAAGAGAAAGCAAGAATGTGTCAAAAGTTCATTAAGCTGTGTTTCTGTGTAATGTTCAGAACATTTGAATGACACAAGTATCCAGGTAAAAGAGGAGTCATTATGAAATAGTATGTTTATGCACAGGGTGCCTTTCATTTTACTGACATAATTCTGCATGTGACTACTTATGGTTTATTCACAAACATCAAGAGTCTTTGCTGGTGTCTGAAATTAATATAGGTAGAGCACATTAGGTAGCTTGGATGTAGATCCTCATTGTCTCAGGGACAACACTATGCTCTTGGACTCATAGTTGTATGCCAAGTTTGATGGAAAATGTTCACAGAAAACAACTAATGAACAACCACATTTACTACTTAAAATGGTAAATATCTACAGCATGAAAAAAAATTATGTACTTATATGCGAGTGAGTAAAATTATTAACAAGTAAGTGTCCTTATTAGACAATCTCTCAGATTCAAATAAAGGACTTAAATAAATTTCAAAATGCATCATCATCGTCAATCTAATTTTTTACTGATATTTACAACACATTTTTCAATGAAACATGACTGATTCTAAAGTACAGCTTTGAAGATCTATGATTTTACCCCTGAAGACAAATAAATATGAACCTAAGTGTGAGCTATAGGAGAAATCTCTTTTTCTTAAACTGCAGATATCTGCCAACATGCTTTTATTTTTATTTTGTGTGCTAATCAGAACAGTAGGGTACAACTGCAATGTATATTTTTGTGCTTTGATTGTGAAAATACTATCGTTTTAAGGCAGCTGGAACACTGGAAGTACTAAGCATAAAAAAGTTAATTTCTGTTCTGAGCATATTGATAAACAAAGTCTATAAAATATAAACTCAAACGACTCTTACCAAGTTTTCTTTAAATATCTCCCAGGAAATAAATATTGTTACAAACTTAATTTCATTTTCATGCCCACAGTTTATGGTTCTCAAAAATGAAAACGCCCAGATCACCCAAGAAATTTTTAAAACATTGCTTTAGATGAAAAGCTAGGATATACCTGAGAGTGAGTATTCCCCTTTTAGACTTTCACTTTCTCGGATTAGGAAGGCTCCTGCCTGGTTTCCAGGGTATGACAGTTGTCTCTCAGCATCTGCTCGTTTGATTGGGCCAAAGAACCATCTGAACAAATAAAAACGATTAATTTTACCATTCAGTGAAACATACCAGGAAGACAGTTTAGCTTTTATAAACATGCTGTACATTTACTATGAGATAATCTGTGCTCTGCCAAATAAATATCAAGGGGGGGAGGGGGGGAAACAGTCAGAACTATAATACAAATTATTGCTGGAAAATATTGCTTACACATTTGAGTGAAATCTGGATTTTACTGGTAATAGAAGGTCTTACTGATTTCAAGGGGAAAAGTATTCAGAAGTAACAAACTGGTTTTGTCCCAGAAAAAAAATCACCAAGAAATTTTGCCAAGGCTACAGTAGCAGAAATTGATACCAAGTCCATTGATGCCACTTGAACTATGTAGAGGTGCAGGTATGTGCTAACATTCCGACATCTTAAAAGCCAAAAGATCTCTGAAACTGCAAAAGGGCTCTCAGGTTCCAAGGTGTAAATCACCCTGCAGACTTTCCTATTCCACTGCTACAAATAAGTTACTGGTAATTTTTCAGCTCTACTGCTGTTTGACAAACAAAACCAATATGCCCCTCACGTCACTGCAAACATCTCAACATCCATGTTTTGTGAAAATCTCCTCCTATGTATGCCTTATAAAACATGTTTTTCCTCTCTCACTAAAACCTGTAGTTCACAAAGGCTTGTTCAAGCAATAGGTTTAGTTTCCTCCTCTGAAGGCAGCTCTTTTGCTGTTTTGCACTGAGTTTAAATTAAATGTAAATAAGACAGAGATGAGTCAGCATTTTCAACTGAGAAGTCATTCAGCTTCCTTCCAAAGCTTTTTCCAAGATTAGCTCCACCCCTTATTTGAAGTGAATGGTGATAAATAGGTATCATAGCCAAACCTATTACGCAAACTTTAAATATAAATCAGTGTATCACACCACAAGTAAGTTGCCTATTCAGTTAACTACTTGCTTTGTCAATTACTGTGAAAAGTACTGAAGGAGTCATCAACAGACTACTTTAGTACCTGTAAGGCTTGTAATCATCAAGAGGAATGGTGGAAATAAATGAGAACATTAGGTGACACCTTGGCTGAGCAAGCACAAGAACTGATAAATGGTTTTGTATTAATAAAGAGGAAATAAGAAGAGGGAAATACAGACGGCACTAACCCACACTGAATGTGCTTTGTTAATAAAAGAAAATGAAAGGCAGATATTCCCGACCTTGTTCCTGTCCTCTGACTTTAAGATGATTTGGACATATTTGGCAGGAAAGTCATCTCATTAGAAAGCTGGAATTTGTTAGTGGTAATTTTAATTAGTCAACTGTGTTCATTAATTTAACCAATTAATTTAATTAATTCATTATTTAGACTGCAGAAAACTAAGTAATCAATAAATATTCAAATCCTTGACTGAGGTTCTTGTCAAAGGAATAAGAGGACAAGTTCAACCCTATTCCAGTCCCAAAGAAAACCTGTCTACCCTGATTTGAATTAGAATATCTCTGAAATTTCTAAATATACTTGCTCTGGGAGTAACATCTGAAAACTAACTAACAAACTATATGATCTGAAAAAAAAAAAAACAACCCTAATATTTTTCTCCTTGAACTATAAGATATCACTTAGTAGTGTTCAAAGTGACTGATTCTCATGAGAATGTATAAGAAGAGGTGTTTAATTTTGGGGGTTTCATGGGCTAAGAAGAGAACATCTTTTCAAAAGAATTTAATTTTGTACCAAACCCAAAAGACCTTCCAATCCATTATGAGCAAAGTTGAATTTTAGGGACAGTCAAAATTTAGTCTTTACATGACTCAACATTTGAACATACACTGTTAGTAACTCAAATTACCAGTGTTGAAAACATGAGCAAAAATACAGTGTATGCAATAAGGGGAAATTATTGGTTTATTTGGGAAATGCAAATTAAAATAGTATTATGCTGTGTATGTAAAGTCATGTCTATGAAATAGAATATAATTTTGGAAAGCAACACATAAGTACATCGTATTAGGCACAAGTATCTGTTTCTTTGACTTCAAAACCTTTCAAATTAGATGCTTATTTTTACTTGGTTGGAAAAACTTCATTAAATCAATATGAAATTACCATTAAAGTTTATATGGAGGATATATAATATGTAGGTTCTGACTCCAGATAAATTAGCAGTTTAAAAAGATCCTAACTTGCCAAATGAGATAATTAGAGCAACAGTACTTGAGAAGGTAAGTGTAACTGAAGCAGTTATTATGGAGAGTGAAAAGTGGACACATATTGTATATTACCTCATTTGCCTGACTTTATATGATCTGATCAAAATGTTTCAGAAAAATATAGGGAAAATTACTTTTAATAGCACTTGAAAATCTGATTCTTAGTTCAAAGTCATTGAAATAAGTTAACAATAATAATAGTAGAGTACCAAAAGCAAATTATTGTGAAAAAACAACCCTTTAACTTCAAAGCAAATAATTTAATTGGTTACTCACTTTTTTTTTTTTTTAACAAAAGCACATCTGAATTTAAGTACAATTTTCAGCATAATGGAAGTTTAAATTCCTTTCTTAAAGTGTGAAGAGCTTATTTCAATTTCTAGCAATTGAACTTATGCTTCAAAAGGCTTTACTTCATCCAAAAGTGTGTATCTTAGAGGGAAAAGTGCTCTAAAAAATAATAATGAATCAAGATAATTGCTCACCATGAATTATTGCTCTACAGGATAGGAAGGTCAGACCAAAAGAACATCCAATCCTTAGTAAATCTATTTGTGTTTTATAGCTCAAAGACAGATGAAGGTTTTGAAACACAGCATTTGGAAAAATAGAACTAAACATGAAGCGCTATCCATTGCAGAAGTTAAGTATCCAGCACTTCATCTGATTTCAGCGCTCTCTATTGGCACCAGACAGTCCCAGAGAGGTTTGAATTAGCAATTCATACACTGTATCACTCTGAACTTCAGCCCACAGACAGATCACTGGCTCACAATTGTCAGCGCAGGATCAGTAGATTACCAGGCATGGCACAAATAAGTGCATTCAGAATTAGGCATAATTTTCTGTTTTTAGCAGGAACTGTCTGCCTAGCACAGCAATAGTGCTCTTCTGTCAGTGAGATCCAGGAACATATTTTCTTGGCCAACACTGCGTTCAACACCCTAACTCCCTTTTCAATATACTATGCCAGATCTGCTTTTTGGGGTTGTTTCTAGCAGCTTCCTCAAAATCCCTTGTTTTCACCATCATTCATAGCTATCAGGAATCCCTTCATTAAAAACTTCAGGGTCCTTCCAGGTCACATCTCTGCCACCATGTACAGAAGGATTTTGGGGACAGAAAACATGACCTTCTAGGTCCATATCAAACACACTCCTTGTTGCAGGTGATGCTCAATACTGGAATACCAGTGAGGTTGGTTGTGGTTCTTGAGAGCATAGGAATCATATCTCTATTGGCCATCAATTCCACTAGCAGTTTTTGATCACAGGATAATCATCATGGATCACAGCAGGCTCTCTCATGGCATGTTCCCTGACTGTGACAGCATCACTGCTAAGACCTTCTTCCAGCAAAGGAAGCTGGAATGCTGGGGGTCATACTAGAAGGGTAATTTTTTTAAAAAACTGAGATCATAGAATCACAGCATCACAGAATATGTTGAGTTAGAAGTGACCCACAGGGATCATCGAGTCCAGCCCTTAGCCCTGCACAAAACAATTCTCAAGAGTAACAACCATGTTACCTTACACTCACTCCTGCCCATGCATTCAGTCCATTTTGAATTAAAATGGAGTCGTGAGTTCAACAGAAGTTGATAGTGTTACCTGGCTCCATCACCACCTTTGCTCAGAAGCCCTCTGTCCTCCAGGGTGCAATGCACTGCTGATCTCCATCTACACGTCAAAGCCACATTTAACTGCCTCTGCTTTTTGTCTCCCTGAGCTTTGCTACATAAAAATCCACTAAAATAAAAATAGTCACTTCTACTTTTGCACTTTTTTTCTTATAGTAGGAAGATATGGCAGAAGTTTTTACATTGGAAAGTAGAAGAGAGGAAGAGTAATATGGGTCAAGGGCTATCACATGCCACAAAGATACTGACTTACTAAAGCCAATCACCAAAGCAAAGAAAGAGGTGGAGGCAAAGTTCTCCAATGCTATACCACTGCTACTCTTTCCAGTGCACGGCAACATGCCTATAAGAGGACAACTGTCCCACTGGAAAAACCAAAACCCACAAATATCCTCATCCAAAAATAAGAGCATGTAAAATGAGTTTTCTTCCCTCTGTTCCTTCTCATTAATTCAAAATCCTCTTCTGATCAAACCAGTGCAATACACTCATTTGAGGTAGAGACCGAAGATTTAACAGAAGATCTCAATAATTTGGGAACTACAGGCTCTTTTTCTATCCTGAAATTAACTCTATCCAACACTCAAACTTAAACCCAAAAAAACCATTCCCCACCATGCTCCAGATGAAAAATTTCTCTGGGGAAATATCTTTTGGCAGCTTGCCATTCCTTGGACAATCATTTTGCAGACCCCTCACCTCCCTACACTGGAGCTCTCTGCTTGGCATCTCCTAAATCCCAAAATGCTAAATCCTGACTCTAAAACAAGGTGTTTGTTGAGCCTTAGATAAAGCAGGGCCCAGTCATGGGCCTGACAAAATACTTCTTGAGACACAAGTCTTTCCTAGGGCAGCCTCTTTGCAGTTGTACATCAACAGACACTCTAAATTCATGATTAAGGACTCTGCGTGCATCCCCTTTTGGGGTGTGGGTAAGATCCTCATGACCAAGCTAAACACCAGCTCTGAAGCAACAGCTACAGTCTTTGACTTCCTTGGAAATTCAGCAGATCTCTCACTGCTCTTTTGTTGTCTACACTGAAGATCAACAGAGAAAATGATGTAAAAGTTCTGACTGTTTCACCCATTTCCACTAGGGCTCACCAGAGCACAGCTTCCCATTTTATCCTCTACCATTATTTAGATTTAATATGTACAGGAGTAAAATCAGAATCAACTC